CAGACACCAAAGACTCCACTTTTCTATTCCTTTAAATTTGCACAAATCTTGCAAAATGGTTATTTGCAAACCATTCCCAGTACTTAAGACTCAAGTCAAATTTATTTGCATAGCGCCATTCCTCATCTTGCTAACTTTTTCTTGTCTTATGTGTTCGCATCACTGAACTGTACATAATACAATGTAACAAGTGTTCCTTTTAACATTTAAGGTTTCATGTTTGTCCTGCTCGATCAGAGTCAATTTCTGTGGGGAGGAATTTGATCTTCCCAAATCAAACCCTGGTACCTTTGCGAGTCTAAAGTCTTTCTAGCACTGATGAGTTTTGAAAGCGGAGCAGAACAATATATTAGACAATACTGAGAATAGATTCCAGGGCACATACCTGCTTCCACCTCACAGTCTGAGAATAGCTTGACAAGGGTGTTAGTCCCATCACAAGCTGATTAGCTAATCAATAGTCATCTCAGAGAGCTCACTGGAGCGTTCGCTTTTCAGCGGAGAAATTACAGTTTCATACCACGATGCACTCAAAGTTCTGGACCCTGGAAAGTTTTTAGACTAACCCCAAGTTAAAAAAGGGACTTCAATGTCCCTTTTTTAACAAAAAAATCCTGTAAAATCTTCACAGAGATTACCTCCAGGTCTGTTGAAAAAAATAATAATGTGAAAAGAAAAATCAGCTTCTAAACTAACTGATGTCCAAACCCAGCTCACAGAAACAAGCCTGACAACCCAGATGTTAGGAGAACCCAGTAAATGATTCTGAAAACAGCCTTGAAATCACAACCTCTGCACAGTGAAGGTCAAAATGGCTGTGAAAATAACACAAATATACTTAATCAGACAAATGTAAGCGGAGCTGTGATGATGCCGAGCTCCACTGTTACCTCTTGGATGTTGGAGACGTCCAGTGCAGTGTGGATCAGTCGTCTGTACATGGGATGTTTAGTGTCTTTGCCTTTTTTGTTCAGGTCCACTGCCTGCAACGTAGACGAGGTGTAACGATAAAACGCAGTCTGACGTAGAAAAGCAGGATGTGTTAGAGGAAGGTGACGGAGTAATGAAGGAGGGGGAGCCCGGGAGGTCTACATTGATAGAGGCAGCATGCGGGGTTAATGATGGGATTTAATATGCCTTTAAGAGGGAGACGGGGGGAAGATAAAGGAGAGAGGAGATGGAGGGACTGGGTGCGGGCATGGAGATGTAATGGGAGAAAAGATGAGAGGATGGGTTATATAATGATATAATGAGGCCTTTTTTACTATTACACTGATTAAGCTCCATATTTTTATTCTCGGACTTCACAATCAATATTTATCATTAGTTTTTCTGCAGCTCCTCAGTTGAAGTTCGCGTCCGTCCACCTTTTAAGCCAGCACTCTACTAATCGGCTGCTTCTCGCGAGTAGACTGTTTAAACATTAAGTGGGCGGGGCTTCTGATGTCACAGCCAGAGCCGCATGCCTGAGATGAAACGAAGCATTCAGAGCAGCCTGAAGCATGACTTTCTGGCTCACGGGAATTTCTCGCACATATGCTGGTCTTATTATTGAAAAACCTCAGCGTGAGCATCCACAGCTGTATATGTGTAACTACGGTAACGAAACAGGAGGAAAAAGGATTTGTAACATGCAAATCTTGTAAGCTGGATTTCCATAGTTAGGTTTGATGACAACAACAACAACCAGGGGTAAAAGTACAGGCTGTTCTCACCCTCTCCTTCATACGCTGGACAATGAAGCGCAGGTATTTACACATCTCCTGTTTGTTTAAGTTCTTCTTTTTACTTCCCTGATGATGTGCAGACAGAAAGAAAAAAAGAGACAGACATTACATCACTGCAGGAAGTGTTCTGACAGTGTAATAGAAATACATATCAATATTAAGTCATTATGACCCCTGGCAGCTGTTAGAAAGGCAATATCCTGAAATATTAAAAGATAAAATCCTGTTGGAGAGACACAGAAAGCAGTGTGGGACAGAAACGGCTCTGTGTGTGAAAAACAAAGACTAAGACTGTAGGATCATCTGTTTGTAAAGACCAGCCTTATTCTTAATCCTCAAACAGCCCAGAATCTGTTCACTTTCTCACAAACGTGCTTGCACTCTTCGAGCACCCACCCTGCAGACGACGCACTGCCAGGGAGATCCTCCGTCTCTCGGCTTGCACTCGTCCGACAGACACTTGAGATGATAGACTCGGAAGCAGTTGTCACATGTTAGCACGTCACCCGGTAGGTGACACTCGAAGCAGTACCAGTCGTGGCTCTCCGTCTCCCAGTCCTGCAGCGAAGACACAGCAAAGCACAAGTTTGGGTGACCCCCCCCCTCCAACCCGCCAACCACAGCAGGGGAGGAAATGATTTTTTTGCCTATCCTCCATCCTTGATTAAAGCTAGCTCACTAGGATGTCAAGCAACAGAGCAGAGACCAGTTAATTCCTGAAAGTGTCAGGATTTGCCCCACTGAGAAGCATCAACCTGTTTACTCAGCGCTGACGAGTAAGGACCATCAAAAGCCTCAATTTTATTGGTTTAGCGTGCCATCGTAATCAAGATTTCTATATGGATCCTGTTCGTCCTTTAGCTGATTTGACGTCTGCGATGTGACTCACTTTTGATTTTATATTTAATTTTTTTTTTCTAGTTATTGCTAGAGGACACAGGGGAGTCAGGTCAGATATAAATCCTAAGAACAAAAACTGACTGGTAACTAGGGCTGCCACAAACCATTATTTTGATAGTCGACTAGTCACCAATTATTTTTGCGATTAGTCGACTAATCAGATCATCATCCATTGGACGTAAAACATACAGCTTATTGCACCAGCAGCATCTGCTCTTATATAACTATCATTAGCTTACAGCTTTAAGTGTTTAAGGTATGTGCTAACTA